AAAGGCTTCTAATATTTTTTATTTTTCCATCTAAAGTTTAGCGGGTTTATATCTTTGGTTTTAAGTCGTATTTTTTTTGCATAGGTAAATAAGATTAATTGCGCTCTTCAAAATAATACCAGTCTATACCATGGTGGTACGAATTGTATTATGGTGATATGAACATACCGGACTGTAGAATGATTGAATACATGATAGTAGAAACATACTAACTATCATTTACAACTTTCAATATTGTGTACCACAAGATAACACCCATATATCAAGGTGGTACTTTTTGGTTCTGTATTTTTTTCCATAAATTTGCCGATCTAATAGATCATGATGGGCTCATTCATTTTGTGCAAAATTTTTCAAAATCGAGTTGAAAAAGAAGTTGATACCATATAGTGTGGAGGTGGTAACGAGTGATATGAAAAATTTTCCTTGAAATATAGTGAAAATTATTCTCATTTTGTAGATCACAACGAACTCGTTCCATATGTGCAAAAAATAACAATTAAAATTCAAGTTAAAATGAAGAAGATAAGAGCCAATTAAAAACAACTAGAAAAAATAAAAATAAAAACATTTGATTTCCAACCCTTAGATCTTGATTCATTTGTGCGCACTATAAAGTAAGTACTCAGACTCAGTTATGCACCCTATCTACAGACAGGTGGATACTTATCCCCAAATTTTCATCTAGATCATGATATCATGCAATTTCCAATAGTTTTTTTGCAACTCCTTAAATCACCTCGATAATCCACACGTGATAGTCAGGAAGAAATTAATGTATAGATGTTGATAGAGATTTTGCATTCATGTTCATAGTTTGCTTACCGTCAATTCAACAAATTGTTGTTGTGGCTCAACCCGCAACCTAACCGTATATCCACCTGCCGCCCACTCGATCCAAACTGAGGAAGTTTATGGATGAGTTGTAGGTTCTTCAAGAACCAATCCACAATGACGTCGGTGGGTAAGTTTTAAGGTTGAAACCCACCTGGACCACCCAATGACCACCCTTAATTGTAAGGATTATGTATGTTGAACGAATCTTTCCGAGGTTTTAGATTCACATCAGAAGCAACTCTCTCATCTCCACTAAATTCTCCCAAACTCTCCTCTCGGCGTTCCCCAGTATCTAGTGAGGCACTCCATGGGACTGGTATCACTACGCTAGATCCAAAATCACTTGAATTTGAATTCTCCGATTCAGAAACGAATCAAAATGAGGCCCCCGAGAAAGAAAAGAATCAGATTGGGCGATTAGGTTAGGGTGATTAGGATCCAATTCATAATAAAAAGGATAAAGGACAAAGAAGTAATTTTCAACTTTTAGGTTAGGGCGAAATTTAGTAATCCCCATTCAAATGACCCAATGACCCATGGAGGAAAGAAACCCTAGCTTATAAAAGATAAGTCAGATTTGTTGCGCCTCCAATCCATGGCCGGGCCACACAAGGAAACATCAATCTATGGATTACGCTCAGCTGCCAGAGGACATCGTAGGGAAGATATTTACGAAGCATTTGGAGACCCATTGCGAAGCTGCAGCTTTCGCTGGAGTGTGCAAATCATGGCGATCCACCGCCGGCGAACTCCATTATGCCCCCCGCCAGGTGCGTCCGTGCTTCCAAGGACTCCCGTGCTAATAACTGCGTTGGGTTCGTCTGAGGCGCCACCTGCAGCAAACAGAGAAAAAACAATCCCTTCCGGTCCCAAAATGCCATGGGCAATGAGTCGGTCGCCATTTGGCTCATTTTCACGATGGTATTGATGATCAGCTCCTCCTCATCCTAAGATGTCACGTTTGGATCCACGGCACACGTCGGAGAGAAAAGTTCCGTGTGTTTAAGCTCGTTACCAAAGCAAAGGACAACCTTAATGGTAGTAGTTGGGAGGAAGTGATGAGCTTGGAAGGGTATGCTCTGGTCCTCAGTTCGCACCAGTCTTTTTCCCTTCCCGTAGCCAACAATGGTGGCGGTGGGATCAAAGAAAACAAACATTTATTTTAAGGGTCAACTATAACTATGTGTTGATTGTTATGTTTTATTCATTATATAAATTGCGAATTGATTCATTAACCGGAAAATTTTCTCACTTAATGAGAATGTGATTTTGCATGGGTTAATCTGGTTAACCAATTAACCAAACCGATTAAATTTTAGTTTGGTTAATTTGATTGTTGTATTAGTTTGGATGGTTTTGTTATGATATTGTATTCCATGGTTATGAAATTTAGCATTATTTGATTGGGTAATAACCATGGTAACCATTTGAACACCCCTAATAAGGTGTGTAGTATAAAGTATAAACCTTAAAACAAAACAATTGAAGAAAAGAAAAGAAAAGAACAGTTCTTAACTCCCTTTGCTTTATTGTATGTCGTAGTCCGCTTTCCATTCCCAAAACCAATTCCAAAACAAGCTCCAGTCTCCAATTCCATTCCAAAATAAATTGTACAAAGCTAGTCTCCATTCCAGAAACAAACAAACAGCTTTCTATTGCCAAACAAAACCAATTCCCCAAATTTTCTTTTTCCAATAACTTCAAACAAATACAACAATGTTGAACATAATATCAGAGCAACACCCAAAATCCAATAGGAATTTATTGATGTGCTTTTCAAACAAGATTAGAGATTACTTCTAGGAAAAGACATTAGGATTTCTCTTTCTTCGTTTTATTCTTGGCCTTCTTCCTATTTTTCTTGGATGATGCAACTACGTACGCTGAACACTTCACTATCATCCTCCTCCTCCTTCTCATCGTCATCATGTGTTAGAAACAAGGTTTCTAACGGATTGATAATTGGGGATTTAGGGATTTTAAGAATAGAATTAGGGATTAAGAGGTAGAATTTGGGGAAGAACAAGAAAGAATGGCCGGCGGCCGGATTAGGGAAAGAACAGAAATTGAGAGGATTTGGGAGAGAATAGGGTTTAGGGATTTTCTTAATATGCTTCTTATTCATTTTGAATGGAAGCCCAAAGTACATATATATAGGAAATAGTGGAAAACCCTAACAATAAACCTAATTCTATTAAATGACTACTAACCTTAATAAGACTTACCCTAATAATAATTAAAATAATAAATATAGAAATCCTAGATAACTCGGTTTCTAACATCTCCTCCCCCTTCTGACCAACCTTGCCCTCAAGGTTGATCGACTCGACCCATTTCTTCACATCTCCCGCGCAATCCGCGTTTTGTCTTCTCCACTCCTTGCGCTTTCTTTTCTTCCAATTGTGCTCCACTGCTCGAATGAAACCCACTTCCGTGACCCCGACTCTCCCCAACTTTTCTCGAACCACGTGACACAGGTCACAGTCTCCATAGTCGAACAATTCTTCCTCTTTCTTTTCGAAATCCACGAAATAAGAATCGGATAACTGTTCTTCCTCGTTCTCCCGCTTGAGGTCTTCAAGAGAAGGCTCTATAAATTCCATAATGAACTTAGTGGTGAAGAAAAGCTCTTTTGGGCTCCATTCTTCTCCAAATTGGTTTGAATTAAGCTCTATTGAAAGCCCACATTCAAATCCAATAAGCCCATTTCTTTCTTTCTCCATATTTTGTTCCTGCAAAATAAATGCAACAACACAGCCCATTGGCCCAGGGTTCTTCAGACAGTTCGGCCCATTACCTCCATAAGCCCAACTGATCTCTTTCTTGTCTGGCCCATTCGGATGGGTTTCTTTCATCCCTTGGCCCACTCAATCAGGCCTGCTTTGTTGATCCTTCTTCTCACATGTCTGCTGATCTGCGCCGCCTAACTCAAGCCCAGCGAACTCCAGCAGACAAAAAATGAGCCCGATACTCCGCTCTGGCCCATAAGGAATTGCAGCCCGGTAAGTAGAGTGGCCCAAACGGACTAGCCCTTCCTCTGGTGTGTGACCTAGGGTTGCTGGTGGAGCGACACTGCCGCCACCTGCCTTCTTCCTCTCACCTTATTTTCCCTGCGGCGAGCAACCCGACGGCCACCCCGACTTCGACGTCTTCCTCATCGAACGGCGACCACTGTGACGATGGGAAGGAAGGTACAAGTCTGTCATCTTCCTAGTTTGATCCTCCTCCGTCTCCGTCGTTTCTTCCTTCCTCGACGCTTCGTTTCCCGGCGACGCGAGTAGCAGCTCCTCGGCGCCGATCTCCTTCTTCTCTTTATTCTCCTTTGCTGGCGAGTCCCTCTGCGACGTTTTCTTCTTCGACGATGGACAGGTTGTTGTCGCGTTTCGCGGCGAGTAGTTCGCCAAGTGTTGGGGAGTAGGCCTCGACGTCCCGGTACTCCTCTCCACACCCTCCGTAATCGACGGCGAATCGAACCCCAGAGGAGCGCTCGGCGACTTTGGAGCAGCCACGCCCTTCTGCTTCTCCGGTGGCACGGCCAAACACGATCTGACTTTCGTCTCCGGCAAGAAGTTCTTCCCGCGACGAGGAGATAAACTAGATCCCTCCGCTTTGAATCGACGATTGGTGTTGGCACGGGCCTCTATCTTACCGCCGAGTGCCGCCATCCATCACTCACCCCTCTTTGACGATTCTTCCATCCGCTTAGTCATCGTACCCCGTGGTGGCGGTGGTTTAACATTGGAGAGCTTCTCGGCAGCAGCTACCCGTCGCTTCTTCCTTTTTTTCCTCCAATAGAAGCGGATTCTTGGCCTGAGACGGACATCATCACCATAAACCTTCAAACCTGGTCTCATTATAGTCGGAGGGTAATGGTTGTTGATTGATTCATCTCCCGTTCCGTCAATTGCGGCCCCAATAGGGACTACACGAACTTGGACAGCAGCAGCCATCTCGTCGCCGTTATCCGTCCAAGTCACTTGCCATGGTGGGTCTTCTTTCTTTGGTGGTGTTTGCTTCTGCGATGTGGTTGCGGATGCTAGAGACCCTGGCGACTTCGTCATGGCTGGGAGAACAGGGTTAAACTCCTGAATGTGGACGGCAGCAGGTGGTGGTGGTAGCAGTACTTGTGCAGGCGATGATGATCCATCCTCTTGCACCGGCGACTACAGCAGATCAGCAGCACCATTGACCTCGGTGCTTTCTGCCGATGCTTCTCCGTCTTCCGCGATCGCTGGCGTCGCAGCAGCAGCCACGCCATCCGCGATCGCTGCCTTCATCGTCTCCATCTCTGGCGGAACGGAGGCCGAAAGCTCTTCCACGCTCGGATGCTCTTTTAGCACCTCGCCGTCATCCCCTGAGTTAACCTGCGCAACCGATAGTTGCTCTTCTGCTGTGGTGGCATTCCCGGTCGGCAGCTCCTCGGAGCTCCAACGACGGCCAATGCGGCGAGCCCGGTCACGCAGCTCTGCCCACGACAGGTTCGAGAGCTTTGAAGAGCTCATCGTCGAACCAGTTGTAGAACTCGTCCCCGGTTGAGAGTTTTGGTGAACTCAATTCTCGAACCGGGCTCTGATACCAGATGTTAGAAACAAGGTTTCTAACGGATTGATAATTGGGGATTTAGGAATTTGAAGAATAGAATTAGGGATTAAGAGGTAGAATTTGGGGAAGAACAAGAAAGAATGGCCGGCGGCCGGATTAGGGAAAGAACAGAAATTGAGAGGATTTGGGAGAGAATAGGGTTTAGGGATTTTCTTAATATGCTTCTTATTCATTTTGAATGGAAGCCCAAATTACATATATATATGAAATAGTGGAAAACCCTAACAATAAACCTAATTCTATTAAATGACTACTAACCTTAATAAAACTTACCCTAATAATAATTAAAATAATAAATATAGAAATCCTAGATAACTCGGTTTCTAACATCATGACATGAGAAATTTTGGACCACGATTGCAATCTGGGTTGGTCTTAACCACCTTGATGATGCCATGATAATGATAAAATTATGGACCACGATTCTTGTTCCTGAGCAACTGAGCCACCCTATATGGATCCTTTGTAAGTTTAGGGATATCCCTGTGCAAGTAAGTAAACATGTAAAAATCATCACACATAAGGGTAAAAATAACCAATAGCTAGGCCTGTCTTAAGGAGCAAGAGGTTAGTTCATGGACGCATACCAGGGCATAGGCTGGAACCAGAAAAACCGTAGTTCTCTTTCACTGATCATAGGGTTGTGATTGAACCTCGTAAGTTGCTCAGTTTCTAGATTGAAGATGCCACAATCAACTTCGCCACTACGGAAACCCCAAGGGGTGAAGGCAAAATAGATGCTGTTGCTTTTGATCCCACCACCACCACCACCATCATTGTTGGCTACGCGAAGCGAAAAAGACTGGTGCCAACTGAGGAACAGAGCATACCCTTCCAAGCTCCTCACTTCCTCCCAACTAATTTCATCACGGTTGTTGTTTCCTTTGATTATTACCAGCTTATACACACAGAACTTCTCTTCCCGTCTTCGTAGGACGAGGAGGAGTTGATCATCGGTACCATCATGAAATTGGGCCAAATGGAGACTCATCGCCCATTGCAATATTGTGGGACTGAAAGGGACTGTTGGTTCCTTTGCCTCAGACGACGACGAACTGAACTTGATTAGCTTATAACACTGAATACCAAATTGATACCACAAACCGTAGAGTGTACCTCCGAAGTAGGCCGCGTCCTCCAGGTAGGCACCACCAGTATTCCTGAATTGCCAACGGCGTCCTCCTCCTCGGGCCGGGGAGGAGAACACATTGCACCAAGCCAAACAGGCTGTGAACAGGACGATGACGTGGCAGCTGTGGTCGTCGTCGTCGGGAGAGCAAGTGAGGAGGGCTTTGACATTTCCCGAATTGTACTCAGGGGAGAATAGGGCGGCGGGGGTATAAGGGATGGGAGGGAGAGAGATGGTGGCGCCGGTGATCGGGTTGATGAGGTAGAAACTCCGGGGAGGACCACGACCGCCGTCGGGTCGGACCACGACCAGCCACCCGTCTTTGGATCCCACGTGGTGATTCTCATCTATGGTGTGAGGGAGCGAGAGCCGCGGCAGCCGCCGGCTTGTGTCGATTGTTGTTCTCGTAGGATCGGCGAGGATGGTTAGGGGTAAGAAATCGTGCTCGTGGCTGCAGTAGTGGGCAGCGTTCTCCGGACGGCAGGAGGAGGAGGAGGAGGAGGAGGAGATGGTTGCTTTCGATACGAGAAGGCCTGGGAAGCACGGCAGGCGGTGGCGGATGACACGGAGTTCGACGGCGGTGGATCTCCATGATTTGCACACTCCAGCGAAGGCGATGATCTGGGAAGGGGTCTCCAGATGCTCCGTCACTATCTTCTCAACGATGTCCTCTGCCAGGTTAGAGTAATCCATTACTGCGCACCAAATCTAACTATCTAGCTTGTCTTTTAATAAGCTAGCTAGGGTTTCTTTTCCCGTTCTTCTTACTTCTCTTATTCCATGATAGCTAATTTATACAAGTCCTTGCAGTACTAACTTGCCCAACAAGAAAGGCGAACCGACCATGAAAGGGAAACAACAATAAAACCGACGAAGAACCAGGGGCGGAGCTACAACAGCCTTTGGGGGCCCCGGCCCCCCAAGAATTTTGAAAGTTACGTGTAAAAGTTGTATTAGACGTATAAACTAAATGTTATGTATAAAAATAACCAACTTGAAAATAGTACAATAAAAGTCTTTGTAGTCTAGTGGAATTGGGCCGTTCCCTGTCAGCTAGTGGTCAAGGTTTCGATCTTGCAATCTTGCCGAGAAACAGCAATGTCTTTATATCCCCAGCTTTTTTGCTAATCAATTTATGTTTTGATCCCTAAATAGTCAATTTAGTTTATGATTTTCATAATAGTTTATTTGTCAGTCAAACTGTTTCAAAATTTCAAGGATAGTTTGAAATATGATGAATATTTTTTAGTTATATGGCCTTTAAGTTTTTATTTAACTAAAAAATTTAATCAAATGCTTAAACTTTCATAGTTGGTTTGTTAATTATTTAATTTTAAATTAGATTTAAGTTTTTATTTAACTAAAATTTTTTATCAATGATTGAACTTTCATATTTCTTTTGTTAATTATTTAATTTTATATTAGATTGATTAAATTCTTCAATTTTAAGGTTATTTTTTAATATATAATGAATAAATTTTGCCTAATATTAATATTGGTAGACATTCGCCTTTAGTTATTAAAACCGTTTACGCAACACAATATTGAAATGAGTTAGTAACTTGTATATAGTTTTTTTTTTGTAGAAATTGTATATAGTTTTCTGATTTATCCCAAATTTAATATAAATTTTTTGTGCGCTTTTAATAAAATAAAATGAGTTTTTGTTTAATGAGAACTCCCCCCCCCCCCCCGGAAAGCTAAATCCTAGCTCCGCCCCTGGGACGAACTCTAGTCCTTAACTTAACTTTGAGTTGGGCTTCGGTTGTCGGACCGAACGACGTGGCATGCCTGTGTGTACGCGTCATTTGCTTAACCCTTGGAGACAATTCAAGGTGGCTCGATGGTGCATATGAGATGGACTGGTATTGTTGTCTTCAGTAATAAAGGTTCTACTACATGGCATCGCACTACAACAAAAATGGTATTTCACGACCACGAAAATTGGTCGCACAATGTTTTTGCGACCATTATTAATGGTTGCTGGACTGATCGTATATACGCCGTTGCCAAAAGTAACCGCGACCACTTTCGTAAAATGGTCACCGAAGAGAAACGTTTTTGTGACCATAATAACTGGTCGTAGAAAGCTCGGGTTTTCATGACCAATCCTCAATGGTCGCTTCAAAGTGTTTCGGCGACCATTTATCTAATCATCGAATTGTTACCTATTCCATGACAGATTCTGTTTGGTCGCCGAAACTTAGTTATTGCGACCATGACTATGCTCGTCGAATGTATAATATGGACTGATAGTCAGTGACCACAATGTTATGGTCGCATATAAAATTTTCTGCGACCATTTTATTCAATGCAAATTGTAAACTATTGGGATTGCTTTGCCTCTCACAAAATGGGAAAAGAAGACCTGTAAGTAACACTCACAAGTCACAATAATGTGATCATCATACCTTACTAAACATAATTACCATATATTTCATACTTCATTGTTCAATTGTGTTAGCAAAGTACTTTGGCATTAACATAATCAAATAGTTGTGTCCTGCAAACTATTATTTAACTATACAAATAGCCATTCCCCAAATGTATGTCAACCTAGCTTCTTGTAGCACTCCCCAAAAAATGAATGTCCACCTATAGCATCTTTTAGCAATCCCCAATATGTTATATCCACTTAGCTTGAAGCACTCCCTAAATTGTATGTGCACCTAGCTTCTTGTAGCACTCCCCAAAATGCATGTCCACAAATATCGTCTTTTAGTCCTGCGTTATTTGAAGAGTTTGCCAGGCAAAGGTATATTCTTTCCTGCTACTGGGAATCTTACTTTCACTGCGTACTGTGATGCAGATTGGGCAGGTTGTTAGCAGATTAGGCATTCTACCACTGGCTATTTCATGGAGTTAGGTGGCAGTCCCATTTCCTGGCAAACCAAGAAGCAAGCTGTCGTTGCTCGTTCTTCAGCTGAAGCAGAGTATCGGGCCATGGCCAATGCTATTAGTGAATTCATTTGGTTAAGGTGGCTTTTGTGTGAGCTTCTTGTTCCTGTTCAATGCGCGACCCCACTGTATTGTGATAATCAGGCGACACTTCACATAGCAGCCAACCTAGTATTCCATGAGCGCACGAAGCATGTGGAAATGGACTGTTATTTTGTTCGAGAGCGCGTCGCTAGTGCTGAAGTTGCTCCCGTGAAGATTTCTACCATCCATCAACTCGCAGACGATTTTACAAAAGGGCTAGGCACTGATCCGTTCATCCTTTTGTCTTCCAAACTTGGCCTTCATGAAATTCACGCCTCCGCTTGAGGAGGAGTATTGCGAGTCGTAGTCCTTGTTTGTTCATATTTCATTCTTGGTGTAGTGGTTCACTAACTTTCCTTGTAACCCTAGATACTAGTACATGGGTTACGTGCTATAAAGCCTTAAGAAAAGGCTCGGCCGAACTGTAACTCGTGTGAGGAAAACCTAGTGGAGTTTGTTTGAGAGTTTTAGCTCTCCGTGGAGTAGTCTCGTTCATGTTGAACGGGGAAACTACGTTAAATCCATGTCTTCTTTTAATTCCGCGTTTGGTTTTCTACAGACGGGAACCCTTATGCCGCCTCCGACCTCCTTCTTTCGAATCCGGCAACCTCCGAGACTAAGCTGATCTTGCCGCGTACCTCGTCCCCCCACCATCAGGGCTTGGATATGCAGTTTGCACAGAGAGCTCATCGATTTTGGGTACTGATAGACCGTTAATTACACATGTTTTTACCCCTGTTCTTACACCGTTTGAGATGTGGTTTCTCGTGTTTTAGACCGATTTCACGC